TTAACTAACAAAGTCATGTCATCAAAAGGAACAAACACCAGATTTACCTCCACAATCTTCAAACACGTGTCATCACCATTCAAACCGAAAGGAAATGGAAGCCAGATTTGCTCAACTTGAAGAGAACTTGCTAAGGTTACAGAAGGATCTAGAAGAAAAGATAAATCAAAATAGCCAGAGTGCCCTAGATACAATCACAAAAGGCCAAGAGTCCTTGGTTGATCAGATCGTTGCCAAGTTAGCTGGCCTACATCAGACAAGTGCACCTGGGCCAGGTTCATCGAAAGGGGTAATTACGTCACCTACCCTGCAAGTAGTTGTCTCACCAAGAATATTACCTGGACTTCAAAATAATTCGGATGGTTACCGTATTTTGAAATTTGGGGAAGAAGTCAAAATGACCATTAAACCAGGAGATAGGTCAAGTGGAAAGCCTCCCCTGAAGAAGAAAGAAAGAGAAATCATCAGCAAATCAAAACCAATTACACATGTATCATCCTCTAGAGAACCAAGGAGAGAAAATGAGCATTTCGATCCCATTTCCATGACATACAAGGAGCTCTACCAACAACTGTTTGAAGCATAAGTGGTGTCACCCTATCCAGAGAGACCTCTAAAGCCCCCATACCTTAGGTGGTATGACAAAAATGCGCACTGTGAATATCATGGCGATGTTCCGGGGCATACTATTGAAAATTGCCTCGCCTTTAAGAGGATTATCCAAAGAATGCACAACAGGAGTTGGATTCAATTCAACAATATAGAATCACCCCACATTGCACAGAACCCTCTGCCTAATCATCAAGAGAATGAGAAAAGTGCAATCACCGAGGAAAAGGGTAAAATGGCCAAAACTAGAGTTTCCGAAGTGAAGTCACCTCTTGCTTGGGTATGGAGGCAAATGATAAATGATGGGTTTATTACGCCACATCCTATCACATTAGATTCCAAAGGGGGCAGTCATTTTTGTTATCACAATGAAGATGGACATGATGTACAAGAATGTGCCGAATTTTGAGCCTTGATCCAGTTAATGATGGACAGAAAAGAGCTGGAATTTTATGATGAAAGCAATGCCACTCCCAAAGTAGAAAGAGTCATGGCAAGTGGGGCATCCTGATGAGGCCTTATTCAATTTTGAGGCATCTTGTTTGAATTTGTTTTTTGAACTTTCTCATATTTTGGAACTTGTTTTTGAACTTTCTTTGGATATTTCAATGAATTTATACGGAGCATTGAATCAATTTTACAACTTGAAATTCTTTGATTATCAGCTGAATTAAAAAACTCTGTAAATGGTTCAGAGTTATAGATCTTTGACAAAATAACAGTAATAAAAAATAGGACCATGACCTTATCCAGAAGATACGCTTAAACACCGTACCCTTCTCTTATAAATAACCAGTATAGCCTTTTCACTTCATAAGACTTGGTATTTAGATGTGCATAGGTACGTACAACATGGGGCATCTTTTGTATGTGACAATTACTATACTTTTTTGTTTAAGATGTTCGGTGATGATAATAATCTTTACAGATGGGATAGGCGAGTAAGTGACTCTAGTTTAGGTCAACTGCTTGGAAATTGAACTCTAAGGATGAGATTTCTTGACTTTCAAAAAAACACCTAGACTATAACAGGTTCTTCTTGACAAACTTAAGAAATTAGATTTGTATACCTAGATTATAATATTATATATATACAATAAAACTTGAGCTGTCCCTCTAAAGCAATTGGTTAAACGTCCCATGATGCAAGCACGTTTTCACCTACAAATGGAGTACTCTTGAACATTTTTATGTTATATTTACTTTATACTAGTTTAATGATATATGCTATTATGATATATCTCATGTTAAGGTTACTAGTTATGTAATTAATAAATAACTTAGCATGAACACATCTTCACAATAGATGCACATTGTTATTTAGATATGTTAAGCATAATCCATCACATTTATATAATGGCAACAAACTTATCATTTATGTTATTAGCTCATATGCATTCATTTTAGCTCTTAGGCTTTAAACAATATCTCACACATATTATATGATGATATATTTAGCTCATGACATTCAATCATAGCTCACATTACCATAATCATGCATGGCAACAAGGTATTTATCTCATATCAGCTCAATGCCATGGACTTAACTTGTTTCCTCGCACATGTAGGTACATTAGAGCATGACACACGTTGGGGTAGCTTGGTGGATTATTTGGACATCATATGCAGCTCACAAATAGCTCACAAAGTACATGACATCTCGTGGAACACTAAGGAAAACTCAACTCAGCTGTAGGAGCTCAAGGTAAGCTAATCTCAGCTAGTTGGACTATTTCAAACCAAGTTGCTAAAAGTGACATCAAGTGTAGCTGAATGTAGCTGAATGTGCTGTTATGAAGCTTGTAAGCTCTTGTCTAGGAAGCTCATTCACAACCAGCCCCTTACTTGCTAGCTATCTACACACTCAAGCAAGCTTGGAGGAAGACACATGCACGTCCAAGATGATGCACATGACCAGCCTTCATCTTATACAGAAGGCTGCACCACAAGGCTCCCTAGAACACCACTTTGCGTGCCATATGAGCAGCCACCATGTGCCTTGCATGTGGCCTCATTTAGGCGCTAAGATGAAGAGCCATCTAACCATTCGGCCAAGCATCATTTCCTCTCCCATTTGGCACCAACTTGAAGGGATACAGGAGCTATTCGGCCAAAAGTTATTACCCTTCATTTAGGACCAAACCATCATCTCTTTTAGCATTTAAATTATGATTTTATAGGGAGACACAAGAGCTGGCCGAACCACCATGTATCTATTCGGCCATGCCCTTCCAAAACCTATAAATAGGCCATCATATTTCATTTGTAATCAGAACGTTTTGATTAATTAAAGTGAGATTATTCTCTTTGCTCAAGTCCTTGTGACTTTTATCGACTTATCAAGTATTTTAATATTTGTGGCGTCAACCCCTTCCCTTTGATACTTGTGGTTCCTATCTCCATATAGATATTGGGTCCAAGTCCTTACTACCACCCCTTAAAGAAGCAATATAAAGTTTGGGTCTTTGCTCTCTATAGCATTGGTTCTTCTTTGAGTCTTCTTTAAGATACTACCATCACAACCATTCCATTGTTTCATCAACCTAACCATAGCCATAAATCCTTCCACTACCATTTCTCTTATCATAAATAGCCTACATGTTCACCTTTACATCTACCACCAAACCATCTATTTGAGCCATTCACTTATGCATGTTGTTTTGCTTCCTTTCTAGATCCACAATCAATCGAGAAGGTAAAATTACCTTACATCAAGCGATAATCAGAGCTTTGGTGGAAGAAGCAACGTGTAACAACAACAACAACAAAAATACCAAAAAGAAGTGCAAGTGAAGTGCAAGTGAATTGAAATAAAAAAAATCAGCAAAAGAAATTGAAGCACTCCAAAAGAAGAAGAAAATCAAGCACTCGGAAAAATAAGAAAAGAAAAGAAAGAAAGAAAAGTTGAAAGCACACAACAACAATTCTCATGACCAAGCCATTCAAGTAAGCCTTTAAATTGATTGTGGTAATAGAAGGTCGTGAAGTGACTTTGTGTAAGTAACCCTTTTTTTTCTCTTCATTTTATTTCTATGCCACCCTTTTCATTATATTTTGTTTTTCATTCCTACTAACCCTTTTGCAGCCGATGCACAACAAGTAAAATTTACTTGATACGATTTTTATAAAGTTATTTGAACTTGGGATAAAGAGAATCGAGAGGAAAAAGGCTTGAGCGTATCTGAGATCATAAGAGGACAAGTAAAAGCCTTAAAAGTCCTAAAGTGCAAACACGAGCGGATTCAGTAACATTCAAGCTTTCTTGGAGTGACTCGTGAGGCTTTGTGAGAGTATTATCTGGTAAGGTCTTTTACACATCTTTTTCTTTTCTTATTTCACTAATCATATCTCGGAGTCCAGGACGAACCCCTAAAAGAGAAGCCCCTAACTTGCAAACTCAAGCAATTATGCGTGAAATGGCAAGATTACTGAAATTAGAATTGGAGCCTTTGCATGATCGTATGGATTAAATTGAAGTATCTTTGGAAACCGAAGAATAAATCACCATAGAATGGAAGAATAATTTAAGGAAGAAGAGGCTGAAGTAACGTCAGAAGCAAGAATAGATGTTCATCGAAATCAGAATAATAACTTCAGCAATATTAAGGTAACCATTCGTCCATTTCAAGGACGAACTGATCCTGAAGCCTATCTTGACTGGGTAATCAAGATCGAGCACATTTTTTAATGTCAAAACTATACGGAGCAAAAGAAGGCCAGGCTTGCTGCTATGGAATTCGTGGATTATGCCCTAGTTTGGTGAGATCAATTGGTGAGTTCAAGAAGACGAAATGGTGAACGCCCCATCACTACATGGGAAGAAATGAAGGCCATTATGAGGAAAAGGTTTGTGCCTACTCACTACCACCGAGATCTTTATCATAAGCTATAAAATCTTAAACAAGGAAGCAAGAACGTTAAAGATTATTTCAAGGAAATGGAGAAAGCCATTATTCGAGCCAATGTTGATGAAGACAGAGAAGCAACCATGGCAAGGTTTTTATCTGGCCTAAATCCTGACATTGCTAACCTTGTTGAACTGCAGCATTATATAGAGATTGAGGAGATGGTACATATGGCAATGAAAATTGAACGACAGATTAAAAGGAAAGCCTTCACCCGGAGTAGTCCAAATTCAGCCCCCAAATATAAACAAAAGCTTGGTACTTTCCGGAAGCCAACTCTAGTCCAAGTAAAGAATCGTGTAGAGGTAACCAAAACTATACAAGTGGGTGAATCCAGCAAGGGAAAACAAAAGCAAACTAACTCTTTTGACAGAGACATCAAATGATTTAAGTGTTTTAGAAAATGACATGTGGCCAGTCAATGTCCCAACCGAAATGCTATGATTGTACTTGAAAATAGAGAAGTTTTCTCAGATTCCGAAGAACCTATCTATGATGAGGAACCTGAAGCAATCCAAGATGAAGAATCAGAAGAGAATGAAGACTATGGAGAAATGCTTGTTTTAAAAAGGTGCCTACAATCACAAACATCTTAAGAGGATTTATGAAGAAACAACATTTTCCATACCAGGTGCCATGTCAAGGACAAAATTTGCACAATGATTATAGATAGAGGGAGTTGCACAAACGTAGCCAACACTCTTATGGTTGAAAAACTTAGTTTGCCAACATCAAAGAATCCCACTCCATATAAACTCCAATGGATCAATGAAGGAGGTGAGTTAAACGTTACCAAACAGATTCTAATTCCTTTTTCAATTGGTAAGTACAAGGATGAGGTACTTTGTGACATTGTCCCTATGTATGCTAGCCACATTTTACTTGGTAAACCATGGCAGTATGATAAAAGGGCCATTCATGATTGTTATCACAATCAATACACTTTTAAGCATGAAGGACGCAATGTAACCTTGGTGCCTTTGATGCCTAAAGAAGTACAACAAGATCAATTGCATATGATAAAAAGTGTACAAGCATGGCGCAAAGACAAACCACCAATAAAGAATGAAGAATGATGAAACCAAACTTCTTCATGAAGAAACATGATGGTTCATTGCTGGAAAATGAAGGGTCTCCTACGAAAAATGGTGATGGTTGGGATTCAAAGTCACAACTCTTCACCAAGGGTCTAAATCTTCAAAAGGTAAGTAATCTTTCATTTGTAACCTCGTCACTCCTCACTTTTCAGGACCAACCACATGAAAGGTCAATTCCAAAAGGGATGTCCCTAGAAGAAGATCATTCCCAAAAGGTACCTTTTTGGAAAATTATATTCCAAAGAAAGGCCTAAAAGGAGATCTTGTGAAAGGGTTCCTATTGAAAGAACACATTCATTCAAAGGATGTTTTCTTTTAGAAAAAGAAACGTGAAGCTATGCAAGGACAAGATGTTAAACAGCTCAAAGGTTTCGATTTGAGGACAAATCGCCCTAAAGAATGGGGGATGATGCAAGCACGTTTTCACCTATAAAGGGAGTACTCTTGAACATTTTTATGTTATATTTACTTTATACTAGTTTAATGATATATGCTATTATGATATATCTCATGTTAAGGTTACTAGTTATGTAATTAATAAATAACTTAGCATGAACACATCTTCACAATAGATACACATTGTTATTTAGATATGTTAAGCATAATCCATCGCATTTATATAATGGCAGCATACTTATCATTTATGTTATTAGCTCATATGCATTCATTTTAGCTCTTAAGTTTTAAACAATAGCTCACACATATTATATGATGATATATATAGCTCATGACATTCAATCATAGCTCACATTACCATAATCATGCATGGCAGCAAGGTATTTAGCTCATATCAGCTCAATGCTATGGACTTACCTTGTTTCCTTGCACGTGTAGGTACATTGGAGCATGACACACGTTGGGGTAGCTTGGTGGATTATTTGGACATCATATGTAGCTCACACACATCTCACAAAGTACATGGCAGCTCGTGGAACACTAAGGAAAGCTCAACTCAGCTGGAGGAGCTCAAGGCTATCTAATCTCAGCTAGTTAGACTATTTCAAACCAAGTTGCTAAAAGTGACATGAAGTGTAGCTGAATGTTGCTGAATGTGTTGTTATGAATCTTGTAAGCTCTTGGCTAGGAAGTTCATTCACAACCAGTCCCTTACTTGCTAGCTAGCTACACACTCAAGCAAGCTTGGAGGAAGACACATGCACGCCCAAGATGATGCACATGACCAGCCTTCATCTTATGCACAAGACTGCACCAAAAGGCTCCCTAGAACACCAATGTGTGTGCCATATGACCAGCCACCATCTACCTTGCATGTGGTCTTATTTAGACTCCAAGATGAAGAGCCATCTAACCATTTGGCCAAGCATCATTTCCTCTCCCATTTGGCGCCAACTTGAAGGGATACAAGAGCTATTCGGCCAAGGGTTATTACCCTTCATTTAGGATCGAACCATCATCTCTTTTAGTATTTAAATTATGACTTTATAGGGAGACACAAGGGTTGGCCGAACCACCATGTATCTATTCGGCCATGCCCCTCCAAAACCTATAAATAGGCCATCATATTTCATTTATAATCAGACTTTTTTGATTAATTAAAGTGAGATTATTCTCTTTGCTTAAGTCCTTGTGACTTTTATCGACTTATCAAGTATTTTAATACTTGTGGCGTCAACCCCTTCCCTTTGATACTTGTCGTTCCTATCTCCATATAGATAGTGGGTCCAAGTCCTTACTACCACCCCTTAAAGAAGTAATATAAAGTCTGGGTCTTTGCTCTCTATAGCATTAGTTCTTCTTTGAGTCTTCTTTAAGATACTACCATCACAACCATTCCATTTGTTTCATCAATCTAACCATAGCCATAAATCCTTCCGCTACCATTTCTCTTATCATAAATAGCTTACCTATTCACCTTTTATATCTACCACCAAACCATCTATTTGAGCCATTCACTTATGCAAGTTATTTTTCTTCCTTCCTAGATCCACAATCAATCGAGAAGGTAGAATTGCCTTACATCACCCCAGCTTTATGGATAAGATTCAGCTAGTCTGATCAAGGTGATTATAATATACAATGGAGCTTGAGTTGTGCCTCTAGAGCAATTGGTTAAACGCCTCGGCTTTATGGATAATATTAAGCTAGCCTGATAGAGGTGATTATAATATCTATACAATGATATTGAGCTGTCCCTCTAAAGCAATTGGTTAAACGCCCCAACTTTATGGATTCAGCAAGCCAGACAATGGCGAAGTAAATTTATCTAAATAAGGAGTTTTGGTAAATATGGACTAAGGGAGTTAAGGAACACCTGTTATAGTCAAATTCACACGAGCACTCAAGAATTTCATTTTTAGACCGATATTTCTGCACTACCTTTGTTAGAAGAGCTTACAAAACTTAAACAAATGGAAGATTTTAGAGAATCGAAATAGAAGGTCTAATAATTGATAATGCTAGTTGCGTCATTTTGTCCGCATCCAATTAAAATGCCAAGCCAAAGAAAAAACATTTTGCAATAATCAAAAAATGACATTTTTTATGGCTGAAACCTTAGGTCAACCTAAAGCCAACTCATCCACTTGAATATTTGTCAAAAAGCTATAACTCTGAAAGCATTAAAAGAGCTATTGATTCCTTTAATATTCTTTGAACTCGTGTTTATTATTTGATTCGATTACAAGCCTGAATTTGGGAGCAATGTTTTATGGAATTTCTATATTCTCATATCTTTTTCCCTCCTAAAATAAGTGAAAAGAGAAAACACTTTCAAACAGGACAGTCTCAAATATGAAAGTTCTTTAAAGCCGAAGCCTGAGAAGAAAATAGGGCACGATCAATTCCAATGACCAGATTGGCAGACAGAACGAGACTCCGTCCAAGACTAATTCATATTGCATGCATCTTAGACATACTTAAGAGCATTACATTTATCATTTTTCACATCATAATTTTTTGCAGCTTTCAGAGTCAAGTTTCGACTCCAAGAAAAAAATATACTCAATTCGAAAGATCCTTTGAAAGATCGATGGTGGTTGCTTGACTCAGCAGTGAGAAACTACACCTCAACCGACTTGACATATCTACAGATCTCAGAATTAATTTCATATGGGTTCGAGAGCCAATTCAAAACGAATCCATATCAGCTTAACTCAATAATGAGTAGCAGGTTTCCAGCTAGATATCAATTCCACGACGGAAGATGTCCGACTGACAGAATTTATCAATGTGTTTTCCCGTGAAGGGGAGTCATCCAGAAACCATATCACTTGGTTCAGACCCACTCATGGGAACCACCTGAAGAATTATGACCGGCTTAGACCCGTGAAGGGAAGCCATTTTTTTAGAAACTATCGGCAGCTTAACTTAAGGCGAGAAGGGTTATTTGTCAGCAAAGACCTTCGAGTTCGACTATGCTCAGCTCCAAGGCATATCATTTGCAACATAGCTCAAGGCAAGAAGGGTTATTTGCCAATAAAAGACCTTCAAGTTCGACTACGCTCAGCTCAAAGGCATATCATTTGCAGCATAACTCAAGGCTAGAAAGGTTATCTGCTAACCAAAGACCTTTGAGTTCGACTATGCTCAACTCCAAGGCACATCATTTCCAACATAGCTAAAGGCAAGAAGGGTTATTTGCCAATAAAAGACCTTTTCGTTTGACTACGATCAGCTCAAAGGCATATCATTTGCAGCATAACTCAAGGTTAGAAGGGTTATCTTCCAACAAAAGACCTTTGAGTTTGACTACGCTCAGCTCCAAGGCACATCATTTGCAACATAGCTCAAGGCAAGAAGGGTTATTTTCCAATAAAAGACCTTCGAGTTCGACTACGCTCAGCTCCAAGGCACATCATTTGCAGCATAACTCAAGGCTAGAAGGGTTATTTGCCAACCGAAGACCTTTGAGTTTAACTACGCTCAGCTCCAAGGCACATCATTTGCAACATAGCTTAAGGCTAGAAGGGTTATCTGCCACCAAAAGACCTTCGAGTTCGACTACGCTCAGCTCCAAGGCATATCATTTGCAGCATAACTCAAGGCTAGAAAGGTTATATGCCAACCAAAGACCTTCGAGTTCGACTACGCTCAGCTTCAAGGCACATCATTTGCAGCATAGCTCAAGGATAGAAGGGTTATTTTCCACCAAAAGACCTTTGAGTTCGACTACGCTCAGCTCCAATGCATATCATTTGCAGTATAACTCAAGGCTAGAAGGGTTATCTGCCAACCAAAGACCTTCGAGTTCGACTATGCTCAGCTCCAAGGCATATCATTTGCAGCATAGCTCAAAGCAAGAAGGGCTATCTGTCAATAAAATTGTCGAGTTTGATTCCATTCAACTCGATGGCACATCAATCACTACTGTTCGGTCGTAGTCGAGATTTTCAAGTCGAAAAGAAGGCATGGGTTAGTTGTGCCTTAGTGACAAGGAACCGTTTTTCGACAGCATAGCTTAAGTAGAGAAAAGCTATCTGTCAACGAAGACTTTTCGAGTTCGATTTTATTAAGCTCGAAGGCCTATCAACCACATAGTGGAGTCAAAGAATTATTTTCTATTTGAATATTTAAACCAAGGTCTTTAAACCGAGAAGAAGACCGAAGTTGACTATAATTTGGCAACGAGAAGCCGAATTCCGATTCAAATTCTGAACTACGGCTTCAATCTCATATCATTTCAAGGTGAACTCAACTTCACGACGGAGGAGTCATCCAGAACACAATTTGACATAGAGTTATTCTTTCAAAATCGATTTTTCAACTCCACCGAATGAAATTTGTGTCCTTTTGTCTTTGTCCTATTTTTCGTTCCACGAAAAAAGGACAAAGAGGGGCAACTGTAGACACTTAATTTCGTCAGTCGTTATTGTATTATATAATATTACAAATTATATTTTATAATTCTATATTTATATATATTATATATTTACATTATAAATCATATTATATTTATTATGGTTCTCATTTGTTTTGCAGTCCCAAGCTCAACGTGTTACAAAGGGTGACACATCACCATACAACACAAACAAGTAATGTGGGCTCGCGAACCGGTCCAGATCTTCAACTCGAACTGATGCTAGGGTTTCCAGACGACACCACATCACTCACCCAGCCCTCGCACGCCACTTCTCACGCCAAAATCCCACCTTTCTCGGCCTCCATCCGGCGTGAATGCATGAGACACCAACAACCAACACAGCAGAGTTCGATTAGGACTCAAACTAGACTAAAAATAGCATGCACTTTTTATATAAAAAGGCATGTAATTAAACCCATTGTACACACGATTTACGCATATTACACAAGGAAATATACTCAGCATGGATACTCAAAAGAAATTAGAGAAAAGTTCTCCATTTTTCTTGGCAAAGGTTCGTTCGAACCGTATTTTTTTCTTTCTCATTTTTCTTCTTTTATTTATGTGGTCTAAGTGTAAAAGCCAAAAAAGAGTAGAGAATATGAGCCATCTTACCTCGCTATGAGTTCTTTGAGAACTCAAATCTGAAATTTTGGTTCGAAAGGAGAGAAGAATAAGAGATTGAAAGAAACTGGAGAAGGGGAAGCTTTTTTTTTTTTTGCTCTGCATGTGTACTGGAAGATAAGGGGGTGTTTAATTTCAATTATTTTGGTTAAATCATATGTCAAGTCCCTGGGGTCTGGAAACTTCATGCTTGGTTCATTTAACTTAGGGGTTAATCCCCTTTCAAGTCCCCTTTTTTTTTGTGGTACGTTTTGCCCCTAAATCGAATTTGCACACCAAATTTCCTTTTAAATTAATCCCCTAATTTTTTTCCCGTTTAATTTAATCCTTTTATCTTTCTTATTTTTTTTATTTTATTTTTATTTTATTTCTTATTTTTTTATTTTATACAATATTATATATATATTTATTTATTTTATTTTATTTTAATCCTTTTATTATTTTTATTTGTTTATTTTATTATTATTTTATTTCTTTTTTTACTACTTTGTTTATACGTATTTATATATATTTTTTATTTTTATTATAACTATTATTATTATTATCATTGTTTTTATTATTATTATTAACGTATATATTTTTTTTATTATCATTATATATACTCTTTTTATTTATTTATTATCTTTATTGTATTTATTTGTTTTTCCTTTCTAGTTTTTATTTATTTATTATATTTTTTATTTTTTCCCTTTTTCTTTTTCTTTATATTTTTTATTATTTTTTCCTTTATTATATTATCCTATTTATCTTCATTTAATTTTTATTTCCTTTATCTTATCTTATTTATTTCATTTGTTTTTAATTTTTTTTATCTTATTTATTTTCATTACTATTTTTTTCCCTTCTAACAAATGTCCTGACTTTTTAAGGGTATACTTTCAAATCGATCAAAGGTAAGTAGTTCGAATTGAATTTTTAAATTTTAATTTTCGCAAATAAAGACAATCGGGAAATTAATTGGTACCGAAAGGGCAGTTCAAGGGTGCTAATCCTTCCTTGACCGTAACCGACTCCCGAACCCGACACGTTTCTTGTACAACGCAGATCAGGAAAGATGGTGTCCGATCTACCTAATATCGCTTTAAAATGATTGGTGGCGACTCCTAACCCAATTATTGAAGTCGAAGCCCAATTCCGGGCCCAGCTCGAAAGACGGCCGCGACAGGTGTCGTCCCAGTTGGCTCATAATCCAATACATTAATTTTGTTGATGCACAAATTTGAGTGTAATGCAGTCAGGAATAATATAAGTCAAGAGCTTTAAGCATAAGCATACCATATATCTTTGTTGGAATGTTTCTTCTGCTCTCTGCTTGATGGATGAAGCTTGACTCGAATGATTATCCTGGAATGTTTCAAGACTTTTACCATGAGCTTTAACTGAGTCCATGATTCCCCTTGTAATTCCTTGTTCCTGTTCTGACATTCCTATGCAGCATCCCACACAAAAAAAAAAAAACTCAAGAGGATTCCAATTCCAAAGCTAACTTTTGCAAGAAGAAAGATGCATCAAAACTAGTTTTCGATATTAGGACCGGCAGTTAGCACCAAACATAAGCTCTACGTCTAGATTCTAGAAGAGAGAGACTTGCCATCAATGTACTGAAGGGTATCATCAGTTTTCTTCAAGCCATCTTGCTCAGCTGCAACGCGGGCACTATCAATCTCAGCATCATGCTGCTCATTTGAATAAGTAGTATTCCTGAAAGAAACATCTTGAAATCTACTTCAAGGAGACAACAAAATACAACAATGAAACCCACTATAGTTATGCATTAATATTCCAACATGAAATTAGCTCTGGATTCAATTTATAGCTAACTTTCAATGAGAAAAGTAAACTAACTTTGCATGCATTTACAATGGGAAAACACTGCAGAAGATGTTCACTACCAACCTGATAAGTGATTCCATATCTGAAACATGTTTACTACCCATCTCATTCGCAGATTCCTGAGTACTTTTGTAGTGCTCGAATGCCGATTCAGCAGTAGACATACTTGAGTAAAAGGCAGAAAAAGAACAAGTCAAAACCAACAAGGGAGGAGAGATGGATTCAAAATAAGAACATACCAATGCTGTACGAGTTCCTCGATACAACAATGTTTAGCAGCTGACAAATCAGCAGTGTCTTTAGCATCATTCTCTACTTGCATGGCAAATGCTTGCCATTTTCGTTTAGCATCTGTTGTAATACCCTCCATGGATGAAACATGCCCATCCAAAAATGTTTTGTTTACAACAGCGCTTTCTTTGATAACAAAAAGCCTTGCGTCCACCTGCCAGTGAAGCCATTGCTTAGTTAACAAACAGTAGAAACCATACAAAGAACGAACAAACCAGCTCTTTTTGCCGACGAACATGGTTATGCACCAGATTTGTCATATCAGCAATAGGCTTCGCAGCATCAGACTTCGATTGCTCCTACATGGCATATGCTTGATGAATAAGAAATTTCAACAACGTATCTCACTTCAGTAAATAGTAATATGCAAAATATACCTCATAAGCCTTCTGGAAGCTAGAAATGCTCTTCATTTGAACTTCATCAGCTTGCACAGCATGATTCTGAACCCTCACAAACTCTTCTGAAAGCTTATCCAGAATTTCACTGGCATAATCAGAAATGTCCTTTGTTTGCTCAATACTAACATGGAACCTCTGTTAATCAAAAGGGAAGAGAAAAAAAATGAAATCATCATGGAAAAGGAAAGAAATATAGAGAGGAAAGAAATCTAGCTATGCAACCTATCTACAGGAAATTGTTCTAATATAAATAGCACTAGCAAAACGATATTGTAGGTAACAAATATTCATTACAAAACAAATACTCTTATAAAAAAATTACAAAACAAATACATTTCTTAAATGCATCTCCACTTCAAGAATGGATTCCAAATTGGAGCACAAACCTGTCTTAATTCCTTCGCAAAAACAGTCATTTCTCCCTGGTGAATTGCAAGACTTCTCTGAAGATCGCCAAACATTGAAGCTGCTTTGCTAGCCTCAGATGAAAAGAACTGATCCTTAGTTCATAAGAAAAAGGGAAACACTTAAACCAAGGGAAAACTCCAAATAAATAAAATAAAAGCAACCGAACTCAAAATATCAGCAGCTACCTCTTCAATATAATGTGCATTTGATGAAGCCAGAGATGAAATTTTATCTAAGGCAGCATTGGAGCTAGCTTTGTGCAATCCCACTACGTTTGGAATGCCTCCATGTGGGAAACATGCAAAGCTCTTGCAGCAGTCACCTTTTTCTTCATTTCCAAGATAGCCTAAAAGCAAGATTTATGTACAAGGTCAGCCACATCTGTTAAATTATACCCACAAAAGAACTGCCATGCTGGAAAAGAAGTAAAATTCAAGGCTAATTCAAGGGGAAAACTTTCAGTACCTTATCATGTATATCAGTAAAGGAGCACAGAGTTTCTCAACACTCCGAAGGTGCTCATTTTGCTGAGACACTGATGAGGCCACCAGGTTGCGAAGCGTACCAATTTGTTGGCTTAGTTCTGCCTGGAAGTTGTTAACCACTACTCTATTATCAGTGTTCAGTTTCTCTTCTCTTCCTATAAAGTAAAGCATCATAGGGTCAGACATCAATTCGTTTATATACACTACATTGAAATAACTAAGAACAACAACAGACTAATTTTTAGGAACAATGAAGCATTATCCTTAAGAACTCTGTCCAAGTCAGACTTTAGCACACAGGGTTGATGCGCCAGAGCATTTTCTATTTTTGACCATGCAAAATATGTCAGCACAAAATAAATATTAATAGGCACGGTTCAAGTACATATTGATTTGTAGACACTAATTTTTCAGTTTGCTTTTATTATTATATTTATTATTATTTATTATTATTATTTATTATTATTATTATTATTATAAAAATTATTATATTATTATTAATAAATAATTACAAATACATCGGAGGCCCATAACCCATAGCCCAATTACAAATGGATCTAGAAGCCCAACCCTGACAGGCCCAACTAGAAGCGGCCCAACCAAACCCTAAAACCAAATTAGGGTTTTCATCATCTCAGCAACCAGCCGTCTCAATCTCAACCGTTGGATCTGGAAAGATCCAACGGTCCAGAAGCCTCCAGATGAAACCCTAGGGTTATGATACCCTAGGGACTATAGTCGCCGCCTCTGCTACCAAGTGCTCCAACCGGCCACTGCCGACGGTCAGCCACCCCACGTTGACACCTCACTGCCACATCGCAACCTCTAATGTCTCCACACCGACGTTTCAGTTGCTGCCGCCCTTGCCAGAAGACTCCAGAAGCTCACCAACGCTAGGCCAGCCGTCCACGTTGCTGCCCTACGGTGAGTTACCACATAGTTTTGGTGACTCACTGAACTTTACCTATGGGATCGGTCCGAGAAAGCAACCGGGATGGCTATAAAGCCATCACACCTACAAAAAAAAAAAGAACCTGAGAGCAAGACAACAACCATCAGTAGAAAACAGAGAAATTGACGAGAACCAACAACAAAAACCCAAAGCAAATCAACCATTTCGAGCCAAATAATACACCAACAGTAGCCAAACAACGAACCAAAAGTGGAAAAGAATACTTACCTTCATCGTAGCCTCCGTATACCGCCGTAGAACCGAGAGTTCGAAGGTAAAAAAATTAGATCTACTTCGATCTAAAGAGACGTTCAGATCTCTCTTTTAAGGGTGTAGACACCAAATTTCGTCCCATTATAATATTTAATATAAAACATATTATATTTATTATGTGTTATATTATTTATTTGTTTATTGTTTTTTTTACAGGCCCAACAGAATGTTCTGGTCCAACCCATACCTCACAGCACACAGCCCAGCTGTACCAGACCCCACGGCCCCGAACACAACAACCCTAGTTCATGGTTCTCAGCTGAGCGCTGCATACCCGAGGACTCCCCATGCTCCACGCCTCGCCAACACGCCCGGTTCTCTCGGTCACAAGCAACGGTCGTGGGTTCCAAGCAACCAACAAGCATTCAAACAATGAATTTCAGTTTGTTTAGGACTCTATGACTAAAATAGGATTTAAATAAACTATAAATTCATGTAATCAGAACGGATTGAGGGGGAAGAGGAGAACAGAGGTACTCTTTAGAAAGGGATTTCCCTGAAGTTGTAACGCCACCGACGAATGTTTGGAGAAATACAAATTTCTTTTTCTTCAGATCTGTAAAGATTTCGTAATTTTTAGGAGGTTTTGAGTTCGGATCTGGGTTGGGGGGAGAAAAGAAGTCAAAAAGAGTGTTGATTTTCTTCTTCCGAGACCGACGACGGTTGCAGGCGCGACGGAGTAACGGCGGAGCGGCAGTGGAGAGGTCGTTGGTTTCTGGGCTCGTCAAGAACACCAAAGACAATTGATGAACGAAACAAAGAAAAATAAGTTTGGGGTTTTGATTCATTATTTTTAAGAGTGTGAGCAAATGAAGTGTGTTAAAAAAAATTAACTCATTAAAGCAACCTGGTGAGCCCATAAACATGCGCCTTCTTCTAGGATATGGTACATGTCTTTCCTCGATCCTTCGACTTTCCCACAATTTATTTTGGTCCTTAAACCCTTTTTGCATTATTTAGTTTTTAATTTGGCCTTTAAGTTTTCTATTTCTCTTGTTTTGGCCACCATTCGTTGTTATTTGTTCTTGTGGAAGGTTCACAAGTTAAGTCCATTATTTATATTATTTCGAACGTCCCATATGGCTTTAGTTGTATGCGTTTTGATCCATGTCTCCTTTTAAATGTATATCTAAGCTATTTTACTATTGATATTTATTACTCAAACTTTGCATGTCACTGTGTTGCGATTTATTTCTCTTTTTGTATGTATTTAATTTAATATATTCTTTGTAATTTCGCTACTGTTTCATTTTAGTTATAGTATTTAATCTGAAACCCATAATTTTGGTTTTCCTCATTATAATTTATTATTTCTTTAATCTAGACATCAACTTGCTTGACAAAATGATATAATTTGTTTGACTTTGTGGGTTCACTTTGTCCCATCTGTAGGTTCACTTTGTATCATCTGTAGGTTCACTTTGTAGCTTGTATATATATATATGCGTGCATGTATTATGTCATAAGCTGATAATTTTCAATTAGTCAGTTGCATGTGGTTAATGTGTTCATACCTTTATTTTTATTTTTATTTTTTTTATTATTCTTTTGTTAATATGATCTTATGTATTTGTTTTTAAGCCCTTTTTTAAAAAAAACTTTTTTCCTTTTTTTAAAATATTTATTTACTTTACTTTCAGTAGTAATTTCAGTCGATCAAAGGTAATTAACCGAATCAGTTTTTAAATTTAAATTTAAATTTCTAATTTTTCGCAATTAAAGACAACCGAAAAATTAATTGGTACCGAAAGGGCGGTTCAAGGGTGCTAATCCTTCCTTGACCATAACCGACTCCCGAACTCGACATATTTTTGGTAAAACGCAGATCAGGTAAGATGGTGTCCGATCTACCTAAATAACGTTTTAAAGTGATCGGTGGCGACTCCAATCCACATTTTTCAAGTCGAAGCCCAATTCCGGGGCCCAACCGAAAGACGGTTTCGACAGCTTGGCGACTCCGCTGGGGACAGGTAAGTGAGTCAGGCCAAAATTAATTTTCGGTTATCTTTTTATGCGAAAATTTTAATTTTAATTTTAAATTTATTTATTCGATTCCAATTATTTATCTTTGATCATTTTTCAAATAAATAGTTGTACTGGCATTTTGTTCAATGATTTCAGATTTTTGAAAAGTTTCTATCTCTGGCTCTATACCCGAGCCCCGAACCCTATTTAAGTGGGGGTGAAAGCGACGCCTTCGTGTGAATTTATTCTCCGTATGGGCCTAGCAAGTAACCTTTGGGATTCATATACCTTATGCCTTCGTGTGAATTTATTCTCCGTATGGGCATAAGGGAATGTTTCCTCTCGAGTTTAACTTAGTCTACATAAGCTTGTAATGGGCTTAGGACTAAGGGTCTGGCAAGCCCAAAGGGGCACCGACAAGGGGAACTCGGGTACCATTTTTTAGAACCTAAACCGGGAGACTATGGAGAGTTAGAGCCCACCCCAAAACCTCATTCCAAACCCTAGGATGCCGGAATTATTTCCTACTTTACTTTCTGTTCAAAGCATGTGAACTAGAAATTTATGCGGTTAGGACTTGTTCAAAATCAACTTGCGGGATAGAGATCATGTTCGGGTAGGAATAATAAGCATGTGAGGTAGATATCATGGGGTAGGACTTTCATTTTATGATCATTTTTTATTATTTTTCACCTCACTAACTCTTTTCATCTTTCTTTTATTTTATTTTATTTTATTTTATTTTCATCACTTGCATCATTCAAAAGAGGTCATTGATCCACTAAAACGTGTTTGTTAAAACTCGAATAATCTAAATCCATGGACAAAGGTGTTGTAATACAAGAGATGAAAATACAGAGGATAGTCTACAAGGCGACTATGTGTCACATTCAATCCAGAAGACGTGGTGCCCACAATTGAAGAGTATATCACTCTGCTGCATTATAAAGGACTCAGAATGAACCGGGTTTATATCAAGCACAATGAAAGCTTATCTTTGAAGAACTGACTGGCAGAGGTTGCAGGGGCAGGATGAAGGTTATGTATCTTGGAAGTCCCTTTGAACACGACAATGGCAAAATGATAGCTGAAATTGGAGACCATTGCTGGCGAATTCAAGAAACAGATTAATGAACTTCACATAGTTCCTATCAATTAAGGGCTCCAATGACGAATTTGTTGGGAATATGCTCAACAAAAGTAAATGCTCGAGATGCGATCATTCGAGACTTCTTGGACCAGTACGAAAAATAACTCAACATTTTCACGGTTCATCCAGAGAGGCCAGAGCGGTTCGACAAGTTATTCAACCGGTGAAAGAAGAAAGCAGAAGACTAGTCAACATGTCAGAAGCTGTTAGGATATTTTTGTCTCTTAAAAGATAAAACATTTTTGTCCCCAATAAGGATTATTCATAATAACAGGCACATTTCTTGGATCAATGCCTCAAACATTTCATGCATTCTTGCATTTTTGCATCTTCATCTACATTTTTAAGCATTTTCATAAACATGAAATTAAGTCACAGAGGATTCGATAAAGTGGTCTTAACCACATTACACCACATGAAAGCAAGATTTTAACAATTAAAGAAAAACTGAAATCAGTACAAGGGGAGCTGGATCAGCTGATTGTAGCACAAAGCTTGCCAGGATGATCTAAGAAAAGAATCCCATATCCTAAGGGCTACGATGTTGAAGCTGCTAGCTGTTACCACGTAAGAAGCCCCAAACATTCCTCTGAAACTTGTAAGGCGCTTGCTGAAGAAGGGGGCATGACATATACCATTTGCACTTAGAGGATTGTTTTGTTTGAACACGTCTTTGATCTTTTGCTTAATCTTTTAAACGATTGAATTTATGCTACTTTCTAAGGTGGAGCAATTGAACAAATTTTAATCTTTAGTTCTTCGAATATTAAATGAATTAAGGATTCTTTTAACTCTTCAAGAATTATAGATTTTTGACATATGACAAGATTATACCTTTCTTATCATGTCTCAAACCCCAAAATGAAATACCTTGATCATTACCAAAAGACCAAATTTTGACATAACTTCCCTTTGAAATTCTTGAACATTGTCTTTATCTTTTTGATACACCCATACATTTCTTTGAGTCAAATAAAGTCACACAATTGTCTTTTTAGACTCAAACTTGACATTTTAATACCCAAGGCATTGAGTTGATCATTTGAACATGAGCATTCTTTTAAGACACAATTTGGGACATCTCGCCGGGAGCCTGAACATTGAGATATGTTGGGAGCAAGGAGTAAAAAACAATTCATTCGAAATAATTCTATCACGCATTAACTACACTGTTTTCATGTGAATGAAATTAATCCTGAAAATCTATCCCCCTGGGGATACCTCTTCTGTGAGGACTTCCATGTATGAAATGATGAACGACTTTCTTTCTTTATCCCTTTACAACAGGAGAAAATATATATCCCTTGTGTCCCCTTTTGAGCCTGTAGTAATTTTCTTCTGATTCAACCCTAACCAAGGATCACCCTCCATATTGGGGGGCAAGGTGGGAAGAAATCTGCTCACATGAGTGAAGACATCAATCAAAATGAGACACCAAAAGGTGGACCAAATGGCAAGTGCGAAGATCCAATCAAGAACAAAAAAGAAAAGAAGCAAAAAAGCAAAAAAAACAAAGAAAAAGAGAAACAAGAACAAAAGGAAAAAAGAGCAAAAATCAAAAAGTAAAAGGGACAAAAAGCACATGCAAAGATTCCCTAAAGACAAATAGCACATCAAGCTTCAAACTATGAGATTGATCAAGCACAATCATTCCCGAATCTCTGAATCACTTCACTCGAAGATCATGGAACATCCAGAGAAAATCCAGAGAAACACATATGAGCAGATCCAAATTGAGCAAGACAGGATTGAAGGCATCAGAATGAATTGATCCTTGGTTCAACACCCTGAAACACTTGTTTGGGCCTATTTATCCTTTTCTTTCATAACCATGAGCCATGGCCTACATTACGTGCCTTAAAAGTCCCTTTTAATCATACATGGATTTCTAAACAGAAGAGACTATCTTCAGATTTCATCCCGCCCATCAGGATTAATCTTTGTTTGTAAAAAAAACAATGTAATTAATGCATGGTAGAAAAACATAACAAAGGGGGGGTTCAAGACGTAAATCCTGAATAACGTCTTGAAACCAAAGGAGGGTTCGAGTTGAAAACCTGAAAAGGCGGCTCGAATATAAAAATCGTGCAACTGAGGCGATCACGTAAATTCCTTGATAAGGCATCGCACAATCCGAGTGTGACAACAAAGGTTGGGAGTCAGGGAACACTTCCAGCAGAGGAGCATGCAAGCTACCCCATCAATCTTTTGAGCATCCAATGCCAAACCTTTGAGCATCAAATGAACAAA